GAAGGAACAAGTTGCCTCGCCCAACCTGGAGGTCTAGGAGACCAACCATTGCCCAACCTGGTATAAGACACTGTATCACGGGGACACCTCAGTATAGCTCAGTGGGTCGCTGAGGTGCGCAAACCGTCAGCTCGGTAAGGTCTAGTCTCTTCCTGACGACCCTACCGTAGCCTGGTACACACCACCCTTGAAACCTAATGCTACACCCTTTTGGTGCCACAAATAACTTAAAATGGTAGACGATTCTGGCTTTTGAGATTCGTGCACTGAATTCACCAGACATACTTCCATCAGAGGTAATACAACTACCAAGGTAAAGCACTCCACAACCGCGATTGTTCCTCCTTGAATTGTGTTGGGTGGGTTCAGAGATTGTATGTTCTGAAACATGACTTTGCGCTTTGTTAGTACGAGGTGCATGTCGAGAAGTGCTGTGATGGTTCTCAGTTCACTCAACAGAGCCTGTGCTGTTTCTTCGTCTTCAAAGATGAAGCGATGGCTCAGTGGTTAGAGCACGAATGTACTGACCAGAAAATCTGACCTGTGTATCTCGACTTTCCCTGTCTAACCTTGGGCAACCTGCTCTCTTGCTTCCTTCGGGTGGCATGGCAGGTAGGTACCGAGTATTGCAGCTGAACGATTTTATATATTTTTATAAGGGCGGTCTCTGCGTATTCCATATCACCAAGGTTTTCACCAGGAACGATTTGAGCATCGGGGTTTTAACGGCATTGCAGCATTCACCTAATTATTTTATCGGTGACACGGTTGCACAAAAATAAAGGGTAGACATTCACGGGCACCACTTTTGGAGTCCTCATCGTACACTCGCACGTCGACGTTGTCCACAAACTTCTGGGCATCTACTGTCAAGCGTGTATGGTTAGCAGCACTGACAGTCAACAGAATCGAACACTCCTTTGAAGTCAACGAATACCAAGATTATAGGTTGTCCGTACATATTGCGTCGCTACAACACCTGACGAAGTGTGAAGACATGGCCACCGTAGACTACCCGATCGAAATTTCGCCTGATGCTAACCGGTCAAGAATTCGCGAGCGACCGTAAAACGATGATGAATCAATGACGTTAGAAACCTTGTTACGACGAGAGTCAAACTGAGGCCTCCCGTTGCCACATTCACTGCCCACCCAGTTTGACCAAAGCACTTTATGACACGGTCTCTTTCCCAGACAGATGCAAGTAGGCTAGGCAGGCGCTCTCTGAGGAATCCACCGCCTTACTTGAACAGAACAGGTGTAACATAATCAGGACCAGCAATACGGTGTTGCTCGATTTAAAGGCTGTCAGTCAGGTTCGGAGGTAAAAGGTTGCCAACTGAATTGTGCGTAGTGCCCAGCGTTCCAGACTTCGTCCTCAGGATATCAACTCCATTCTGGTCCCCGATAGTTCCTCTCACAAGGGGCTTCCGGGGACCATTCGAACGAATCAAGTGGAACAGGCTACGGCTGTCCCCAGCATTTTTAACATTCCATTTCCTTGACTTTTCCGGCCCACCAAGCTTCTTGGTGGCACCGGATCTCCACCCACGGACTCAATGTTTGGATTAGGTTGGTTGGATTGTACCGCAGACGAAAGTTCCAGCTCTGAGTAACACGATATGTGTTCCCAGTGGCCGTTAATATCCTATATAAAACGGCCCAGCAGGCGTTGCTAGGAGCCGCTTCTGAAAAAAAGGTTTGATTCCTGGATCCTTTAGCTTCTCATTGGCTAAGCGAATTGTGAGCATTTTGTGTAGACTTGAAAAGCGTAATGAAAATCAACAACACAAAAGTGCACGGCCGGAGTCTACGTTAGTGTCCCAGAAGGAGCGCCAGGCAGTGACTGACCATCACCACCAGTAACTGACGATGATCTGGTCTATTTGGAAATCGGCGCTGTAAAGGAACAGTCTGTGGTCGACACTCTGACGATTTTCGCTGTCCGTGCATCTCGTATACATTCCATTTAGGCCTCATCAGCGCCCTGACGAAGTCTCGAACTGTGACGAAACATTTGCAAATCAATTACCAAGCTCAGCGAACAGATCCACAGCCACCCAATCAAACATCGACGAATGCGCCCTTGCTACCAATATTCCAGCACATTACCGGCGCTTAGTCTACCTACCTGGGTGTTCATGCCACCATCCATCACCAGGGGTGCTCAGCTGGAATCTGGGAGAGGGCTGGGTTGCAATCCAATCACAATACTTGCGTCTGATATCCTTGTTTCTGACAGACAGCATGTATGAATGCAAAAGGAATCCAGTTTGTGAGCAACAGCCTTGTTGTTCTGTTTGCTTCAGTTTGCCAACATTAAAGACGGCCAATTTGACCGGCTTTTGAGGGTGTGAAAACATTACTAATTGTTAGGCTTTTTACTGAAGTTGGACGTACAGAAGCTGCAGCTTAGCGGGATGCACGGTGAACAATGCGGTTATTCTTACTGCTGGAACCTGTGGAGAGTATTCAACCTGGTGTCGGGTAAGGTACAAGAGGGAATTGTGAAAGCGTAAAAAGAGAGTTCTAATGTACCTTCCCCGGGTAGCCTCTGATGAATCTTGTATGAGGGAAGATATCTAGTACAGCTTCACTATGGTACTTGTTGGCTGTAACGGACTTAAATCCATGAGCTTTGACTAGCAACTATAGTTTCTGGATTTAGGGTCTATTTAACTTTCTTTGCGTTTGCATAACAATTTCGGTTTCGTGTAAGGGGTTGCAAGGCATGGTATTGTCGCGGTGGACTGTCCTTAAACATCGGAACTAACGTGATTCGCCCAGATTTCGTGTAGCATATTCAGTTGTAGAATAAAATAAACGAGAGATGAGAGAGAGAGAGAGTTGAGTCTTCCCTAAGGCAATCAGATATGGAAATGAGTGCTTGTCGAAATCTGTCTAATTTGGGTTCAAATAGAACACGAGCTTGACGAAAACTCGGGGACTGCGCCTACCTGATGAGCCCAAAAAATGGGAAAAATGGTCGGGGTCTGTCAGGGTGTTTTCAGCAACCTTGGTAGAAGTTTATTATATAAAAACATACTACGATATCTCGAATATCCTACCAACTGAAACACGAGGCGGCCTTCTTGGAGCACATTCAGTTGAGGAATATCGTCAGGGATTCAGTTTGGTCACCCATTAAAACAAAGTTGATTTGTGAATAAGTGTATTTGTAAAAATGGTTCCATTGTTTCCCATCAGTAAGCGCTTTGACCGGTGGAGTAAATTTCCGTGTACTGAACCGTTAGTGAGGCTCAGCAGAATATTCCATTCCGTGTGGCAAATGAGACAAAGACCAGTAAACTAGGCCTTCCTCTTCGAGAAGGACGGATCTAGGGAAAAGAAGCGAGAAATATGAATGAGCCGGATGATATTATTTAAACAGGATCTTATACTATGTTGTATGATGTGCTGTTCTTGTCACAAACGTTCATACTTTCCGAATAACCTGACCGAATAATGGTTGAGCTTGTAGATGACAACATTACTTGGTAGGCATAGGAGTGGCTTGAATGTTCCTTGATCCTTGATTCACTCAGAAGCCCTCGGATTGCCGAAATGTCCACAGAAACACTCGATAACTCATACTGGATTATGATTCTATTTATAAGTGGTATTCAGATCTTTTCAGTGCACTCTTCAGAAGGCTGCACAAAGGCCAGGAAATTTCTTGAGTATTTTCACTATATTCAGTAGTTCAGTGAACTTCACAGGGCTTTGTAGTATGTGCGCTCCAAAACCCTTTATATCTACCTAATATATACTGGGGATGCGGTCTAGTTCAGTGAAGCATTCCGCACATTTATTATGAAAGAAGTGGCTCATCTGTGACACGTTTTCGGTGCCTAGTTTCTTGTCACCCGAAGGAAGCAGTGGGGCTAAGATGCTGCCGGGTTACCAGAGAGTAGACGAGAGCAGTCGAGATGCGTAGGTTTGGTTCGAACCATGAACCTTCCGTTCAGTGCTCTCGCTCGAAGCTTTTGGCTGCTTTTCGCCCTGCAGTTTACTCAACCGGGCAAACACTATGAGTACGTCTTTAAAGAACAGTCGAGTGATATCGAAAACCACTTGTATCTTGCCATAATAGCTTCACTGGTCAAATATTAGGAGCGGTGTCCCTACAACCGAGGTGAAACAGTGTAAATCTGACAAGAGACCGGTGGGATGTCACACCTAGTACTTGGAATGGGGCATATATGCCCGCAATGTTATGGGTTTTGTCGCTTAAATCAATCACTCTGGGTGAACGAAGTGTCGTTTCATCCTTAGAAGGCAGTTCTTCCGGGTATTTCTTTATTCCATCTAGATGAAGCCCGTCTGGGTTTGAGAACTTTTCCCTTGTGACCGACTCTGTTTTAACAACATTCCACGTCATAAGATGTTGCGCAGTATATGGTAGCGCTATTTCCAGCTTGCAGGTATCAGTGAAGGTTGACTTACGTAATTGTTTTCAAAAGATTTCGCGCAAAGTCCTGCATGCAATATCCTTAGTGGATACCGAGCGGCACTCAATCATCTTGAATGACGAGCTATTTGGCCCGTCTGTAGGGCGGT